CATCATTGCTTTCTCCAGTGAATCTGATCGCATCACGTGACCAAAATAAGTCAGCCGAAGTCTGGTGATCTTTCCCTCAAGCGAACATTCTGGCTTGATGCGCTCCAGAATCTCTTCATTAGTGACCTTAGCCGTCCATGGTATCCGTAACAGTCTTCTCCAGCACCATAGCTCGAAAGCATCAATCCTCTTTCGGTCAGCTTTTTTCAGGGTCCAGCTTTCACACCCATACATTAATATGGGGAACGCAATAGCATGGACCATTTTGCAGTTGGTTGTGAGGCTGATGTCTTTGTATCCTGTTTAGATTTGCTAAAAAAAAATATAAAAATTAAAAATAAAAAGACAATTTTGGATTGTAATTCCTACATTAAAGATTTGTTCTCTTTCATACAGTAGCTTTGCTGATGGTAATATTCTAAAATGTAAAAAAAAAAAAATGGAATAAGCAAGTGTTTCAAAACTTGACAGGTAATGTACTTAAAAACGTGTTTTAACTTTACCTTTATTCAAAAATAACAAAAAAAAAGCCTTTAATTTTAATAAAAGGGAATCGTGGCGCAGCGAACGCTCACTCCCATGAAGCACTCCAGAGCCATTCCATTGTAAATGTAACCCGTAACCAAGAGAAGAGCCATCAGCTCCCAGCAGGGGGCGACACAGGACTTAGTATTAATACTAAACCCTGGACTGTAGAACCACAGTAGGTTAAATAGCATTTGTGCTTTTAATGACAAAATGTTAAAACTTATGCTTTGATGGCATTTTACACATTAGAATGTGATTGGATCAGAGGACAAAAAGCAATTAAAATGAGTAAATACTTTATTAACATTGTTCATTAGCGTGGCCATATCTACAGTTACATTTCTACACGAGAAAACGAATTAAATACAAATTCACAGGCTAGGTGTCAGGTGTAACATTATAGTAAAGAACAAAATAATAATATACAGAGAGAAATTAAAACAAGATTCATTGAACAACTACATTAGTGAGGTCCCTTCGATATTTTTTTAAAAACAGGCTGATGAATTCCGCTGGGAAAACATGAGGGCAGGGTAAATTCAACAAGTTACTATGCGATGTACTGAAAACGTCATGCAAATGTAAATGTTTCATTTCTAAAAGGAAGTATATGGGAGAAAAAAAAAAAACGCAAACGTTTTCATACTCTAAAAACCACCGACACTGAAAACCTCGATTTACCCAAACTGCAAATGTTTCATTTGTACCTTCATTTTGGCTTCACTTGAGATTGCTTCAACCACGTTCCGTTACCCCACATCCCAACCAGCACCCCAAAACTTTGTTAGAAAGCCTTCATTTCCTAATTCTAAAAAATATATATATATATATATACACAAAAGTTATAGGCAGTATAAAATTATCCTATCAAATATGTTACATGGAAAACCATAATTATTAGTTCCTTCATTTTTCGTTAATATGGTTACAAGTATACACGAGTAATAAAACTCAAAGCTCGAGACGCACTAATTCATGATTAATACTTCTAAGATTAGACACCATGCTCCTTCAAATACTACAGTTCACAGTTAATCGTCGAGATTACTTACAATGGCAAGTGGTTACATGAGACATGAAAAAGATACACCACCACATTCTATCAAACCCACAGGGTCCATAAGCTGAACTTTTCTATGTCGTCCTGATTTGTTGTAAGAAACCATCACAGTATTATAGATCATGTTGAGAAGCATGAGAAACGTTTTAGACTCACTTCATGCCCGTTACTGGCAAATCATGGTGAAAGGACAAGCAAAGTAGCATCATGACACAAGAAAAGAGGAATGTGTGCGCAATAGGAAAGAGGGAAAAAAAAAGAAAAAAAAAATACAGAAGATGTGGTCAGTGCAAGTATTCTGACAGGAACGTCTGATCTACCCTTCTTAACGCACTTAAACAGCTCTTGAGCTGGAAAGCACTGGTGTACAGCCTCGCACACGGAGAGATCCGTTAACGGAGAATAAGAAACGGGTGAAAACGAGGGTCGAGGGCAAAGAGTTAAAAGGGAAGAGTGCCGCATCTGCCTCTTGAAGTTATTCTCCTCCTCAAGGTCCAATTGCACATGATGAAGGAATTTCCACCACTTCTCCTCCATCAGTCCTGGAAACACAGAATAGTCATTAAAATGTAACCACAGAGAGAGAGAGGGGGGGACTTTTAAAGCCCACTTATACTTCAATCTTAAAGCCACTTCAGATGGAACAGAGTGCAGCAATTTGGAAAAGAAAATAAAATAAAATGATCTTTCTCCACCCCTGAAGCATCCAAACTTCCCTCCCACTTCCACGGTGATTAAATGGGGGTGGAAAGCAGTGCCCCCCACCCCCCCTTCTCAAACGAGCTCATCACAGAACGTGTTCGTTGTAGTGCATCTGTTCATTTAAATGCATTGGTCATGGCAAGGTGGAAGCGTCCAGTGCAACGTCCATTTATATAACAGCTAAGGGTTAAGGGCCTTACTCAAGGGCCCAACAGTGGCAGCTTGGCAGTGCTGGGGTTTGAACTCAAGACCTTCCGATCAGTAACCCAGAGCTGCCCTTCATATTCTTTAGTGATGGATGAGCAAAGCATGTAGTGCATCACATCTACTGGGTTATTAAATATCGTCCCCTCTGAAACTATTGGAACGGCAAGGCCAATTCATTTGTTCTTCTTGTAGACTGAAGACATTTAGGTTTGAGCTCAAAAGATGGATACGAGAAGAATTTCGAATTTCAGCTTTTATTTCCTGGTATTTATAGGTGGATGTGTTAAACGACAGACACAGAGGGATCACATTCCACCGTCCGAAGACTTCCAGCAGAGCAGAAATATAGAGGGCATACTACAAGATGCAAACCATTCATCAGCAGTACGAATCAGGAAGCCAGGTTAGAATTTGTAAAGAGATACAGAGATGCGAGTTATATTTGCTCACATCTAGATATAAATACCAGGAAATTGAAGCTGAAACAATAAACCACTGTCCCATATCCATCTTTTGAGCTCAAACCCAAATGTCTTTAGTGTACAGCACAAACAAATGAATTGGCCTCGGCGTTCCGATAGTTTCGGAAGGGTGTAGTTCAATAAACATTTATCGGATTTCTAGAGAATTTAGGCACTTTTGATTACTTTTTAAATATTGGGCTGCCAATTCAAGTTTCAATTTGAACAGAGGAATAAATCTAATCATGCTCGTTCATGCGTACATGGACGTGAACGCTCGGACGATGCGATCTCGTATAATCTTGCTCGGCGAAGACCGCATCAAAAGCGGCAACATCCTCATTCATCAGAGTCGAAGTGCCACCATCTTACTTGAACAGACCACAATAAAGTGTGCGCTTTCAAAATAGTCATTAATCACTCCTTGATGTTTACTGCCCGCCCCCTTTGTTCGATGGACGGTTAAGATCCTCCTACCACTGTGAAAGACCGAAGCGCTTTAGATTGCAGTTTTTCCACATTGCAGCTGTACTTTCTACCACGTCCACAGGGAGGAAGCAGACTGCTGGTCTCACCGTAAACAGCGAGTTTCTTCGTGGTGGAAAAATCCAACTTCAGGAAATGTAAAACTAGGGCTCAGATTTAAAGTTCCAGTTTTTCCCCCCTGTAATTGTTTGTTGAAATCAAAACACTGCAAATTCACCATCTAAAATCTGGAGAAACTTCAGTTAAATGTGCAGTAATAAACCAGTCTGTGAGATTTAAAGCAAGGCAAGCAGGCGCCTGCAGTAGGTCGGGCGACAGAATCAACATGAGAGGCAGATGCTCTCATGAGTGCTAGCTCTCGCAGTCTGGAACACGGAGCCACACTACTGCTGATGGGATGAGAACATAACCCAGTCTGGCTTTAAGCAAGTTAAAGTCAAGTCCAAGTCAGTTAACGATATACAGCGTTTGAGGCGGTTTCGTTTCAGCCGGTCGCGTAACCGCCATCTGTTTCCGTATGTGTGGCCCGACAGCTGCGTTGCGTTTCATTTATCGAAACGGGAAAAAAATGGCAAGAAGCTGCACGCTTCGTTTCATGGCATGCCAGACAAAACGGAAAATGTTTGTTCGTGTGCTATAGCGGCAAATCGCCATCCCCAAAGTAGATCTCGAGTGTGCACGTGCACGCAGACACGTCAAACAGCTTTTGGGTACAGTCAGGGTTCATACGCTTGCTTGACATCCCCTTCTACAAACCAAATCAAATTTATACACCCTCATCTCCATCCAGAAGCAGGAGTATTCACAATCGAATGCCTCAGTTTTAAGTAGAACTCACCCCCAGGTGTCCAAACGATCAGTTGATAAGAATCCCAGGAAGCCTTCCATCCTCCTCACTCATATTCCTCAGGTTATTCTCAGCCTCATCCACACTCCTACACAAACAAAAAACAAACATGTGGATCTGATACAGTACGCAATCCGAAGAGCGAGACACAGAAAAGTGGAAAGAAAGAAAAACAAACCCAACAAAGCACTCTGCTTTAGCACCAACACAAATCATAATGTGTGAGCATATAAGCAGAGTCTGCCAGCTTGTCTGTAAGCCAAGGACTCACACTAGGAAATCTTTCACATCTTCCACAGTGAGCTCTCCTGTTGTGTCGAGTGTGATATCAGCACTGCTGTTTGGAGAATCCAGGCCAGGAGACGATAACGCACTCTGCATTTCATCGAACACGCCTGATGACGGAGAGAGAGGTACGACAAAGAAAACCGAGTTAATGCAATGAACATACCCATCCATCCATCTTCTACCGCTTACTCCTTTTCAGGGTCACGAGGAACCTGTCCCAGGGAGCAGCGGGCACAAGGCGAGCATGGGGCACAAGTCCATCGCAGGGCACAATCACATACACACTCACACACCCATTCATACACTACGGACACTTTAGACACGCCAATCAGCCTACCATGCATGTCTTTGGACTGGGGGAGGAAACCGGAGTACCCGGAGGAAACCCCCGCAGCACGAACATGCAAACTCCACACACACATGGCCCCGGCGGGAATCGAACCCCGGACCCTGGAGGTGTGAGGCGAACGTGCTAACCACTGAACATACTCAACACACACTATGTACCAAGAGATTCGTCAGTCACCTTCAGCAAGCTCTGCAGATTTGCTTTCTCCTGGTGATTGGGTCTTGTATGTACCGTTGGCCTGGGGTAGTACTGGCATACTGGAAGGATTGCATAATGGGAAATCACCAAACAAATGTATGCTGGTTGGGTCTTCTGCCCAACCTTTTTTTTTTTCTTTCAATAATTAAAAACATAATACAACAGTGTATACAAGTGTTCGATGACATACTCGTGTTCAGAAGGTTCGTAAGGTCGATCTACGTCCACCCGGCACTGAGGTTCAGTGATCACCCGTGCAGACAGAGAGAACCGTTTATACTCGGATGGTGAGATCAGATAAAACCCTGTCATTGGGCAACAATAAGACACTGTCAACAATTACAGCAAACACCCCCCATGAGAGATGACACTGACTACGTTTACATGGACAGCAGTAATCTAATTATGGACCTTATTCGGAATAAGACAATATTCTGATTAAGGTGTTTACATGAGTCGCTTTTAGAATATTCCCTTTCATGTTCCCGTTTTACATGTTACAGAGCATAGATCGATTAACGTCACACGTCATTACGTCCCCACGCCACGGATTATTATATAATATCGGATTATTGTTGTCCATGTAAACATACCGAGTATACTCTACGGAGTAATCACCTTGTCCAGTCTTGGTGAACACACAGGACGCAATGCCGCTTATGTCTTCCTTGCGGATGCAGTCATATCGCACTTGCGGCCTCAACGCCGCCACACTGAACACGTGAACGTCTCCCAGGTTGGTCAGGCACACGAGGCCATTCTCACAGTAGTCCTCAGAAGCAGCACTGCAGAAGTTCACCAGAGCCACCTTCCGTACACGGCAGCCCTCATGCGCAGTCAGCTTGAATTTGGTCTTCGCGCTGACTTTAGGCAACGTGAACACCTGCAACGAATGAGACATGATTACTGAACAATGTACATGATTGAGCTGCTTCACACACAAGACTGAAGAACTGCAGACAGACTGGGAAGTTAATTCCACCACCTGAGGCATGGCAGCAGTAGAGGTAGAACTGTATTTGTGGCTATACGAACACCAGCCGGGGGGGGTGTCACAGTAAGCATGCCTCAAGACGATGAGGTACTGAACAAGCATCTGGCATGTGTCCTTGGAGAGACAGTAGAAGTCCTCTAGACGCTGTACAGGAGAAAGCTGCATGGCCGAGTGATGGTTAGAACAATCTGCCAAGCAAAACCTTTAGATGTATTGAAGGATGCTTGGCAGATGATTCTAAGAGAGAGAATATGGCAGGTTTGTCTTGCAAGGATGCAGCTTTAGGTGATGAAATGCAATCCATGAGGAGCTGTCTGCCAGATATGATCAGATCCAAGTAAAAACCTAGATTGGGGGGTATCAACCTTATCCGCAAAGGACCGGTATGGGTGCAGGTTTTCATTCCAACTAAGCAAAAGCCACACCTGATTCCAACTGTTTCAAATCAATTGATCTCAACTCTCAATGGACCATCAGGTGGAGCTCCTGCTTGACAGGAATGAAAACCTGCACCTACACAGACCCTTTGCGGATAAGATTGGACACCCCTGACCTAGATCTTTCATGGTGGGTGGATTAGTATGGGACGACTCGAGATTCATTCTCATAATGTGTATTACAGCACTAATAGGTAGGTACCAAGTATTAACCAAAAAGAGAAAAGAATCAAACACTGAGGCTTTCTGGACACCAGTCTACATTGAGCACAAACGCTCCATGTTACTTCATATAGTATTTGGTACTCTGAAATCATTTTAAGTTTACATTTTGTTTCAGCACTAGCGGACCTCCATTATACCAGTCTACAATTTTGAGACCTAATGATTATTGCATAGATAGGAAACACAGAATAATGAGCACCCCCCCCCCATCCAGATTATACCCAGTTTTGTTATTCTTCTCCATGATGACTCTGCCAAAGGCAAAGTGCTTTCTATGTGAAGCAAAAAATGTTTCACTGCTGTACTCAGAACTAAAGAAAATGAATTTCCACTGGCCATCTGTACTGATCAGCAGCCCACCATGTCCTGCACCTCTCACCTTAAACTGTTCTTCAGAGGCAATCAGGACCGAGTGGCTGCCCTGCATATCAGGAGCTTTAGCCAGGTCTCTTGACTCCTCATAGGGCTCGGGCAGAGGGTTTCCCCTGCCGTCCAGCACGACAATGGACACAACTGGAGCTCTGTGCATGAGTTGGATCTCTTTCCCCAGCAAAGCCTCCACACTCCGCTCCGAGAACTTCTCCTGCGAGGGCACGTCCAGGGCGTAAGCATACACACTGCCCGAATTTGTCCCAGCCCACATGGTAGGGCCATGGTGCGTTCCTGGGTGAGGGGGGGGGGAAATATTACTCATCAGCATGTGAAAGCTTCAGGTATGTGTCGAGCTCTTCCAATTTCACCCAGTCGGAGTAGAACAGTTTAAAATTTCAGAGAAATGGAAGTCATTATCTACTTCTACCACATCAGTACCTCTCCCCATGTGCTCATTTGAACTATAATACTACACCAGATAATATATATATTCTAATTCCCAGATAAAATTCTCAAGCTGGGACAGTATAAAACATCCAATAAATTTAACCAGTAAACACCACGGTAAATTCAGAACGATTACACATCACAGCGATTAACTGCATTAAACTAACAATAACGCTTTTTTTACGAAATCCCTCCTTTGAGTACTATTCCCAGCCATTGGACCTAGATTGTGCAAGTGCCTCATTTAAAAGGAATGACGTGCAGATGTTGAAGACAGAACGGCTTGGGTGTGTGGTCCAGACAAAGATCTGACACGGTTCCAACCCCAGCATAATCAGTAAAACGCATGAGTTTGGGTGAGTCGCTATGGTCTTCAATAAGAGCATTTTCCAGACTTTATTGAAATGTTAATAAGATTGCATTTCCCTTATGAGTGCACATAGTTCAATTCAATTGCAGAATATTTGTATTTGCATTTTTGTGCACAGCAATGCACAAAGTCTGCCAAACTTAAAATATAAAAAGTCCACGTGGTGTTTAACGCTTCGTGTCTAAACAGGTCGGATTCTGCCATATAAATGTAACAGCAATCCTTCCATTTACAATCGTACCCTCTCATCACTACACAAAACAACTTCCTTGCATTTTCTCAGTCAACGACTGGTCCAAGCGTGATGGCAGATGGTCTTGTTGTGCTAGAAATAAATATGGAGATAATGGCTAGGGACAATTTAACGCATACCCAAAAGGACTATTCACAGCTGCCTCTTGAGCTGCTGGGAGAGTTTCTGGCTTTCACAAACACCATTTTAATGGAGACGGTGTTCGCAAAACTGCATCAGACGATCCACGGGCTTCAGGCGGATGAACTGACGGTAAAAATGAGAACGCAACCCATACTACAAAGGCTGCACGGGTTGCAGCACGAGAAGGTGATGACGCGATCACAAATGGAACGATAGCTACGGATTTCTGAAAATGCGCCAGAATCAGACCCGTTTAGACAATGAAAATGAAACGTCACTTGGACATTTCAACGGTGCACATTGCGGCGCACTAAAATGCAAATACACATTTTGCAACCGAGTTTGAATCATGTCTCGAATCATTAACACTCAAGCGTAATGCAACTGCAAATACATGCTTGAATGTGAATATGTACAGTACAGACAATCTTCATCCTGTTTAGGCTTCATCAGGCTTTTTTTTTTTGTTTTGTTTTGTTTGTTTAGACAATATACTATTAGTGGTGTCCTGAAATATTTAAAAGTATTCTGATTCTCCTTTTCAGAAATAGGAAATTGTGCTTCAAACATCGAACACGATCCTTCCTTGGGTGGAAATCTGTGGATGCTGTATGCACCATCTGCGGAGCATAATACCGATTTGCTCATACCGTCTCGAAGGAAGGTATCAGCGAAGCAGAGGCAGCGCACCACCCCAGATAACGAATCATCAGCTGAACGGGGCTCGATCCGCCTCTGGACCGGCGTCACCTCGGCATCCTGCTCTGCTAGCTGAGCATTAGCCTCCTGGACCTGAAGCCAGATGGACAGACTCGGGTAGGAACACAACAGCTTTTGCACATCACGGTTGATGAAAGTCATGACGGGTTAAACTAGCTGATGAACAATGAAGCATTAAGAAGGAACTCAAAAAGATGAAATAGTTACGAAAAAAAATGGATGACCCCTGTCCAGACTGAGTGGAAAAATGACTATTCAAAATTGCTATTCATAAATTCGCTCTCAGTCTCGTGCTGAATTTTTTTGTTGATGCTTTATTCAACACGCACATCACTCACTTTACTGGATGGACTGCTGACCAAAACACGCTTCTTCCCAGATACCCTACTCTTGCGAATCCTCCTGAATGACTGACGGAGTGACTTCTTCAGGGACTTCACTCGTGAGAGAGGTCCCTCCATAGCCAGAGAGTCATTGGGGTGTAGTGTACACCTGTAATGAAAAATATGATATGATCTGGTGATTTACCGTAATTCTCGGACTATTGAGCGCACCTGAATATAAGCCGCACCCGCTAATTTTAAAAAGAAAAACTATTTTGTACATATATAGGCCGCACTTGTCTATACGCCGCAGGTGTCCACGTTGTAACCGTCACGATTCGTGATGTAAACGAAGCGGGACGGATGCAAGTGCAGTTAGGACGAGAGCTTTTATTGAAACAGAGGAGAGCAGAATCAAGAGAAACAAGAACCACGACCAACACAATGAACTAAGATAACTAAACCAACTAACCTAAACATTAACTATGACATGAAACAAAGACTCTATATCTATACTCTATAAACCACTTCTACATCTGCATCTAAGCTATACTATCCGCTACTAGGCTATAAGCTATACTACAAGCTACTAGGCTACAAGCTATGCTACAAGCTACTAGGCTATAAGCTATGCTACAAGCTACAGGCTAAGATATGCTATAAGCTAACTAGCCTTGACATGAA